CCCAGCCCCGGCGCCGCCGGTTCCTCGGGCTCAGTATCGACGGCGGCGGGGGTGTCGACGTCAGCATCCTTCTTGGCGGGGGCGGAGGAGTTGTTGCGGTGGTGAGGCTTGTTAGCGGTGGAGGGGAGGGGGTGGTTGTGGTCGGAGGCGTAGGTGATGACGAGTCTTGTGGGGTCCACTCGGCTTCTCTCCACCTGCTTCCTCGCCGGGCACCCCTTCGAACTGCTGCACCTGTAATATCCCCTGAATTTCGCACCACCCAAAAAATTAATAAAAAGTTTTTATGAAAAAAAATCCCTTTTAATCAAAATAATTACTGTTCCAAAGTTTTTGGCACGTTAATCACATACTTATTATATGTTGCTGTTTTTTTATTTATTTCATCGATTTTACTTGGAGCATATCTCTGGAGTACCCTAAATCTCACCATGATTACAAACAAATTTTAAATTTAATTTCAATTCCCAAGGCTGTTCCATGTAAAATACAGCTTCAATTATCCAATAAATCGGGTAATTAGATAAGACAAGAAGAAAAATGTAATAATCAGGCGGTGACGCGAAAAGCCACGCGACGACGGGCGCGTAGGCGTTTTATTTTTCGATCCCAACTACTACACGGGGGCGTACGTTAGCATAAGGCCTCCGTTGGTTGATGCTAATGTACGCTTCTCCGTCTTCATCTTCCGCTCTCGGGGACAGATAGTGACAGTGACAGTCGTTGAGGAGCCAAAACATAATCAGGGACAGGGACTGTGATCACGGGGGGAAGAGAGGGTAAAAGGGTAAATTCACCTGGGGTAAGGGGAGCCTTTGATCGGCTTCTGTCCGTACTTCCTCCAAGCCCACGAATCCGACGGCGGATACACCTCGCCTCTGCCACCAGATCCTGCCACGTCAGCAATCGGGACAGACACAACTCTCTTCTCTATGCTCCTCCTGCTCCGGAACACATCTCCATCAGAAACACAACTCAACAAAATCTTTTTTTTAAAAAAAAAAAAAAAAGATTCCGAAGAGCACCTTTTCTTGGAAGAAGGCTTCACGAACTTGGAATCTTCGCAGGAAGAGGGAGATTCCGGTACGACGTCGTTGTACGTCTCATCTTCTTCGTCGTCCGATTGCTGCTGAACTCTACGGTTCATCTCGAAGAAGAAGGGGATATTCGGTAATTCGGATTAAGGGTGTGATTAGGGGTTTTAATCCATGTGATTATATTGTTCTCCCTTCCTCTTGCTGTTTATTAATCTGGGGACGTGCAGGCAAATACTAAGCACTATATTATTATTATTATTATAGTATGGTTTGTTTATTTTATTTGTTGTTTTCTTTGAAAGGTTCTCTCGTGGGGTTTATTTTAATTTTTTTATCCCACAGGAGAGCTGTTTTTTTTTTTATATAAAAAAAATCTTAATTAATGGTTTCTTAATTAGATAGACATTTGAATTAGTCCATGCATATGTATGCATTACTTAAGCAGATCTATATTTTTTAAATATCCGAATCAGCATTGGGGTTTTTTCTTCAATATATATATATATATATTTGGTTCCATTATAAATATAATTTTATTATATTTGATTATTAATGTTTTCTGCGGACTAATGTTGTTATCCCCGGACAGAGAGACTTGAAATTAAAATAAAATGGCCAGAAAATTTTGGCTGTATTATTTGTGATAATGTTTTGGGGGATGATCAAGTCAAGATTCCACACAGTGGATTTTATAAATTTTTTTATAATAATAAATAGATTTATCCCCATAAAATAAATGCAGGCGTCTTAATAACTATTAAATGCTCTATTATTTGTCTCCAACTTCCCTCATAAATCAGCCGAAATTATTTTTATTCTCTTGTAAGAAATTGCGACAAATACTAACGTGGATGGTCCGGTATATTTTCTATGAAAAATTCATGTCTTAAATATTAATTCGTTCGTTTTTTTATTCGAATTTGGTGAGGCTGATAATAAAACATGATTGGACAATATATACGTAGCTTAATGTATTATTCAAATAGAGTACAAAGTAAATATTAAATGATGCCGTCTAAATAATAAATATAATATATATAGTCTGAGAATATATAAAAATCGACTAAAAATAACAAATACACTTTATATATATATATATATATTGAACAGGATCCATGAACATTGATCGAACCTGTGAGTAAGTATATTCTATGATGTTTTGACCGAGTTTGGTCGTGGACACTGGACAGGACATTTGATTTTATTAGTGAGATGATTATTAAATGTTTTGCATCAAATCAAACCACCTGTTCCAGTTTAAGGAAACTTTGTTGGGAACATTATCCAATTACCATTTTAATTTACTAATTATCGCGACATTTTTTTTATTATAGCTTTTAGTTAAAATTGGAACGCTAATCTCTAGTGATATTTAAAAAAAATGACAATCATATGGCGTCTCTAATAAATTTTATTTAATTTGCTACTATTCTTAATCCAAACTACAACATAAAATAGTATTTCATTGTTCTTTGCGATTAAAATTTGGTCATTATATCGCATTATCTATAGCGCGTTTTTCTTCAATAGTTTAATGTCTGTCCAAATACTCCGATTTGAATCAAACTGTATATATATATATATATATAGCAATTTGGCATAAAATAAATATGAATCAACATCAGAGAGGTACATAAAGAAGTTTAGAAAAAAAAATATCAGAAAAATTGTTAAAACAAAACTCTTTTAGGACAGACCAAAAGTTATATATGGGATATTGCCAGAGAGAGACTTAGCCGGTGATGTTCTGGGACTTGTTGAGGATGACGCCTTCGTATTTGACTTGGAACCATTTCATGGCGTCGTCCTTCGTCACTCTGTGCTGGATCCCGACACGAGCCTTGCACCTTCTGCGCCGTGCCACTCTGTAACCAGGCCGTTCAAGAACCACGTAGAAGTCCATACCATAGATACCCGTGGATGGATCATACCTGACGATATCGAACAATGCACAAAAACCCAATTGAGAAGACTGCCCACTGAATCTTTGTCTTCAAATACGGAGAATTTCTAACCAGAATTTGACTCACTTGATACCCAAGTCGATGTGTTCCTGAATGCCAAAGCCAAAGCAGCCGGTGTCGCTGAAGTTCCTCCTCAAAAGCTCGTATTCCTTGACTTTCAGTCCACTCTCCAGGAGTTGCATCGCCTTCTCGCCTCTGACGGTAACATAGCATGCAATCTTCTCGTTACGTCTAATACCAAAAGACCGGACAGTGTATCGAGCTGCAAACAGACACAGACTGTAAAGATCATTTTCGGAATTCCCTTCCTCCAGATCCCATCCATACCCATCCATGAGGACAACACATTATAGCAACATAAAACAAAGATCAAGAAACATCCCAACCATATGAAGAAACTGCACTCAATACAGATCCAACAAACCAGGAAGTAGCATTTGAAACATGACAAAATTCAAGAACTGATACTGAAATCAATCAGGACAAGCAAGCAGAGTGGGCAACAGGGAGGGTGGGACATATTATCAAATAAACCAATACCCATAATCTCAGAAACATAATCACTGAACTCATTCATCGTTTCACATATCTCAGTTATGTCCTAATCGATCGTCCAGGATCACTAATCCGAGCTACAAACTCTCACAAATAGATGCCAAAAAAGAGAGAGAAAAATCTAAACTTTGACGATAAATTTACTTGCCTTTGGAGAAAACAGGAGTTTGCCCACTCAGCTGCTCCAACACCTACAAGCACAGGAAAAAAAAAATTTGATTAACCCAAGCGGGTACAGAGAGAGACACAAAGCAAAAAAAAAAAAAAAAAAAAAACCTTGGCGGCTCTGGTCAGACGATCGCCGCTCTCACCGACGGAGATATTGAGGACCAGCTTCTGCACTTTAATGTCCCTCATCGGGTTCGCGAGCTTTTTCTCCGAAGCCTAACGAAACAACGCATCGTCAGATAAAATCGACATTTCTACATCGAAAAATATCACAACGAGGTAAAAATGAACAGTGAGAATCGAATTGTAAGGAGCAGAGGCGTACCATTGGGGATTAGGGTTGCGAAGAAACTCCGGCCGCCGGGGAGGAGAAATGCTTCGAAGAGGAAAAGAGGAGAAGAAACTGATGCCTTTTACATAAAACCCTACGTCCAATAATACCACAGACTCGCAATTAGGGTTCTTGCTTCCATTTGCTTTTACGTTTTTACCCTTTCGATTCCTACGTGGCGGAATTCATGCCACGGTGGCATCATCAGTTCATCTCGTTTCCATCTTTCACACCCACATAAATGCATATACAAGTCTGCAACTACGACATTACTTCAATGGGGTTTTCCACTGTATCGAATAAGCATTTGAAAAGTGGAAATGGAGACTCCCCCTTTAGCCATTTCAGGGTCCAACCAAAATCATGTAAGAGTATATATGTATGTATGTATGTATGTATGTATGTAGGGAACGGCTAAAGATATGTCATTTCCTGCACAAGAAAATGCACCATTTGAACCCTTGAGTTCGAGCTTGCCTAAAGTTTGAACCTTTGAAGTTTGGGAAGTTATCATCGCTCGAACCATGAGAACTCGAATCAGATCACAATCTCAAAACCGCCTGCCCCAAGATTAGAGCGGGCAATGCAGCTCGTGGGAAGCGCCATTCGGGTGGAACAGCGAAAAGACAGGCCGAGAAAGGGAAGAAAGCAAAAACCTTTAACAGAAAAACAAAACAGTTCCTACACAATATGGTTCTCCTTGTCTCTGTTCTTTCATCAAATGACTCGTTCCATGCAAGAAATGGTGTTGTTCCATAAGCTTCTCTCCCCTATGGCCAGCTGCAACTTACAGGTTCTAAACTGGATTTTACTGACGATATTTGACTATCTACGAGATGGTCGCCTAAGTTGGAAGAACAGGAAACAGGCAAGAAGAAACTCGCTTCTCTCCGAGTTTTTTTTTTATTGAGCAAAGGCACTTGCTTTACCGGGTGAGATGGGGGACCTGGAAGCGCTAAAGCTAGAGCATCCGCTTTAGAAGCTGATCTACGGCTTCTCACCAATGGAACCAGTGACTGCACCACGTCTGCCATCAACGGCCTGTAATCGGCTTCTGATTCCACACACATTGCAGCTATTGCTGCCACTTGGACAACCTCTTTCATTGAGTATTGACCTTCGAGTGCTGGATCCATAATGTCTACAACTTTATCTCTATCTGCCAGTTGGGGCAAAGCCTGTCAGGGAAGAAAAGGAGAAACACATTAGCTAACGCAAGAAGAAATTCAAAAAGCGAAAAAAAAAATTACCAATTTGATAGGAAACTGATACCATGAAAACATACCCAAGATACTAAAACACCTTCTCCTTGAGGTCTCTTCATATCTACCGGAACCCTGCCAGTCAGCAACTCCAAAAGGACGACTCCGTAAGAATAGACATCGGATTTTGTTGTCAAGTGACCTGTCAAAGCATACCTGTCCAGAAAAGAGACAAACAGATTTCAGAAATTTGAACTTCAAAATTTAAAACTTTAGAGGAATAACTTGAACATACTCAGGAGCAACATATCCCTGTGTGCCTAATACGCGGGTCGAAACATGTCCACCAGCTTTTTCAGATCCTATTTTCGCCAACCCAAAGTCGGAAACTTTGGCATGGAAATTTTTGTCCAGGAGAATATTGCTGCTTTTAAAGTCCCTGTGAATCACAGGGGGTGATACATGTTCGTGAAGATATTCCAATCCTTTCGCAGCTTCAAGAGCTATTCTCAACCGTGTTTCCCAGTCTAATCTCAGTGGAACAGAACCCGAACCTGCATATGAGAAAAGAAACGGTTTTATCAACAAAGGAAAACTCTTTCTGACAAAGAATCTTGAAACAAGAATGCCACTCTGCGTTCACTGCATGCAAAATTGTAGTCAAAGAACTAGATAATGCAAAAACATATCACGTTCATGCCCATACTCTTAACTCGACAATTCAGAAACCACCAAGTGAGCAACTTACCATTGATGGGATACAGGTGTTCCTGCAGTCCACCATTTGCCATGAACTCATACACAAGCAGTTTGTGACAATTGTCAGAGCAATATCCAAGAAGTGCCAATAAATATGGTGAATGCAGACGGCTCAGCAACTCTACCTGTGACCGAAAAATAATTGACAAATCATTAAGCAATTGCAGAAACTCAGCCAAAAGAGCCGTGAATTGAAGTAGAGAATGACATTTTCATTGCTAAAGGACTTGGAAAAAAGCAAAACCAGCAGATGGACGATTTTTAATTCACATTGAATAAAAAGAAATATTAAGGACCAAAAATTTTAAAAAAATGAATAGTGAATGTTTTGCCCAATAAATTTTCATTTTGATATGAAAAGAGCGTTCATAAACGCACCAACATTTTCTCGTAAAGCCTGGAAAGAAACCTATATTATCTGTATTACAGAAACTAAAACCAAATAAACAACCTCCATTTTGAATTCCTCTTCCCCTTGCTTCCCCGCATGATCCATGAACTTGATAGCAACTTTTAGTCCGTTGCTTAGAACTCCTCGATAAACCAATCCGAAGCCACCATGCCCGACCACATTCGACTTGCTAAAGCCACTGGTTGCTGAGTGTAGCTGCTTGAAGGTGAAAACTTGCAGCCCATTGTCAAAACCATTCTGTAAACTTTGACATTCTCCTTTTTCCTCGCAATCAAACCCTTGCATAGGCAGATACATCAAAATCTATCAGCAAAACCCATCTTCCAAATCTGGTCCTTTTGGATAATTTTCCTGCTCCTAAACCAAACCGTTTGAAATTCTACTTGTACATTGCTCTGAAACAGTTCAAACAACCGATTCCATAGTATCACATTTTAACACCCAACGAAAAGCAGAGGATATAAAACAACAATGGAGGTAGCGATCAGAACTTTCTCCATTTTAACCATTTTCCCGGTAACCGACCAACCAGAGGGACTTACTCTCGCGGTCTCTTCGACGTTTGGACAGTTTGTTCCGAAGATAGCAGTAGTAACTGAAGGCGACGAACAGAGAAGCCAAAGCAAGACAAGCCAGCACGACGATGGCCACAAGCGCAGTGCGCTCTTTCTCCCTGTACGGGTCATCTGTCTCCATTTCCCCAACCTTTTTGGGTTTCCAGAAATGGTAAAGAAAAGTCTGAAAACCCTAACCCTAGAAATTGTCACCACGAGAAGAAGAACCTGAAAATGGAGAAGAGAGAGAGAGAGAGAGAGAGGGGAACAAACTCTTAACGCTTTGGGGTTCGAGAAATTGCTTTGTGTGTATGTGTCAACATCACTGTACTGACTTGTTTTGTGGCGCGGGGAATAGTTAAAAACACGGATTCCCTGAAATTTTGCATATTGGTCCCTAAAAATTTGATTATGTGATATTTTAGTCCTCTATGATATTTTGTTCAATTTAGCCCCTGACATTTTAATATAACAAGCTAACAAGAGCAAAGTGGGATTCTCGCTGCCTGAATAATCCAAGACTTTATGGGCCAAATATTACTATCCATAGAAGTATTCGTATAGTTTATTTCCTTGTACCAATAATATATTCGAAAGTAATACAAGAAATCTTGAATAATCAAATCAGAAATCTTGGATATAATACAGAACTATCCAAGAATATATTTATATTTCAATGGATTTAGAGATCTTAAATGCCTTTTCTCACCTTGAACAAATAAAAAAGTTGACGATAACCCACTTATACTACGTAGAAAATGGGGTATGAGAAAATATATTTTATAACATTAGAGGTTAAAGTAGAAACCATATGAAAATTGAAGGGCCTCTAAGAAATTACGGGAAACAATTCCAATTGTCGTGTTCGGGGCTTTGAAGCCGACATTTTGTCCCGAAGGAGGAAAGACGCAAAACGATGAAATTAATGGGAACAGAAAAACATCCATCTTTTGTCATCCTTCATTAAAATATTTCACCTGAGAGTTTAAAATTAAGACAAAACACATGCGCCATCACTTTCGAGAAATTTAAAAAAAAAAGATTTAAAGAGTTAACAAATCGGCAAAAAAACAAAAACAAAAATTGAATCAGTTGCAATAAGACATTAGTTTCAGTCTTCAGATGCTGGTTCGGTTCGGTTTCAATACGGTCGAACCAAAGGGTTTATTCCTGTAAAACCAAATAAATCAAGTACTGAGATTTGAACTTGAGAGAGTGTACTGACAGTACGCGTTGATCACTTGAGCTGCAACTTGGTAGAGAGATCCGCTGCTCTGGATAGCGACTGTATTGATACGGGATAACCCCGACCCATCTGCAGAAAAACCGGATTAACTCGGTTACTTTAGGGCATTAACACCTCCAGATAGCTGGAGTGCTGAGGATTACTGAGAGTATGAACACATGACAAAAGAATGGCAAAGCATAATGGGCAGTGGCATGTTCATGTTTCGCAATGGGAGATGGTAATATGATGCCATTGTGCACAGAATTTGTCTCTTGTAGATTGAATGGAGGGTTGAATGGGAGATGGTAATATGATGTCATGATCATTAGGTTGGATGGGGAACTAAGTATTGTACCCTGAAATATATTTCTGAAAAGGGGTATGAGATTAAGATACATTCGAAGCTTACCGTACTGCATAAGTGGAATGCATTCACATAACCAGCATACTTTGAAGCTGTAGATAACAACAAAAAGCTATAAAATCAGCCTCGGATTAAGCAGGTGATCTGCTTAAACTTTGGATACATAGACATGGAACGCTTCAAAAAAGTTTTTTTTTATTTGCGAAAAAGGAAAGCTTACTCTTTTTCAATCCGGCAGGCTTTGCCTGTAAAAGAGCGTTCATAAACGCACCAACATTTTCTCGTAAAGCCTCCTCTGGAAAGCTCAACTGGAGATGTAAGAAGCCGTCAGATATCAGTTAAATCTGCCACAAAATCAACATATATCCACATACAAATCCAGTTTTGGATCCTAAAGAGATTGGACCTTTCCAAGTGGCACATGCAAGATAGAAGTTTTGTCCATTCTAAATTTGGTGTGACCAGCCTTTGCGTCTTTGACAGCTTTTGCAACATCCTTGGTCACACTACCTTGCTACACAATACATTATTTAAATCAGTTCAAGAAAATAAGCGGCAAATTTAGGGTGTGAATGCAAAATGTCACTCACTTTGGGGTTTGGCATCAAACCATGACTGTTAAGAATCCTTGATATCTGCAGATATGCACAAACAATTCCGTCAAATGAAAAGACCAACTCTTTCCGTTCCAAAGAAAACTTGGCAAGTACTCAAATTAGAAAACCTTATAAACACGAGGCATCATTTGAGGAGTTGCAAAACATCTGTCAAAATTAATCTTGCCGCTTTCTGCGTATAGGGATAAAACAGAATAAACAACCTGCATACATAATTACTAGGCAGAATCCATACTGAGATTAATATAAATAACGACAATAGATAAATACACGCCTTCTATCTGGAAATACAATGCATGCGTCGATGAAAGAAAGGGAGAGTGGCAAAGGGGATGGAAGCACAACAAGCAAAAAGATCTCTTTTTGCATTTGAAGACAAAAGGTGAAAACACATCACTATCAACATGACAGTCAAAATGCAATAATTCATTACTTGAGATTTCCTCGATAAGGTCAAGACCACCGACGATATCAGCACCAGCAGCCTTAGCATCCTCTGCATCAGACCCTTCAGCAAAGAAGGCCACTTTCACCTCCTGAAAGATGAACCTATTTGTTACGAAACTATAACTAGGTGATAAATCAACAATCAACAAATAATGCCATAATAGACTGAAACGATATTGTAGTACCTTCTTCACAGAATGAGGTAGAGCCAAAGTACCACGAACTATCTACAGTTTAAATAGTGGTAACAATCAGTCCGGACATAAACACTTTATGTAATTTACAGAGAAAGAAAACCGGAAAACCCGAAAAAGGACGAGCAATAATCAGCAGATATTGTAAGAACATCAAATCCATGGACAAGAAGAAACAAAATATAAACTTTTTATCAACCGACAAAGAGAAAACACAGGTAACATGAGAACATCAAATACCAGCTCAGATCTTCCTCTTTCAATGCCCAATCTCACATGCGCCTCTAGAGTCTCGTCGAATTTCGCCTTGGCATTGGCCTGTATCATCAATAGAAAAGACAGACGAAAATCGGAAACCACAACAAAGTATTACAAAGGATAGTACACAATGAGAAACCCGAGTCTATATCGAAGTATTACCACTGACTCGTTCTTCCTATCTTGCCATACTAAATGTAAACCAGCAACAATGTATTACATACATGTTCACAATGTTGAATTCTCTCACAAAATCACCATCACATAAGGATTACTAAATTCTGCTATTGTGCACAGAGAAGGGCAAATGAAAAACCCTAAGCTTTTCTACTCTAACAAGCTTCAATTCGATACATTTCCACGTTCAAACTGTACTGCGACATAGATTCTTAACAATATCAGCTGGTTAAGCTTTGAAGCTGACCTTTATTTCTCTTATGGCCTCCATAAGATCCACAACGGGTCTCTTTCCCGGCTTCAGGCCCG